GGCCTCGAAGGTTGAATGCAGCTAGACAAAGCAAATCTTAACTTCATCATTATGTGGTGTATCTTGAATGACACCTGAAAATGGTTAGGGGAGCATTGCTTAAGAGAAATGAACTATATAACGGATGGCAGAGTTTATATTAAATGTAAAATGCACTATTTGCTATGTTATCTTTTCAGAGGAAAAACAGCGATTGTATAAGTCTACTCTAACTGTAGATTTACTTGGGGGCCATCTAACACAACCTACCAAATCCCAAGAAACAGAAATGTCTGGGACTCAATGCTTGGGCCTGAAAATCACACCGTGGAGAGAGAATCGTGTTTGTAATTAACCCTTATGTTTATCTTATTCTGCAGGTATCTGCACCGCTTCCAACTTTGTGTTCATTTTATAAATGACGCTAAGAAGAAAATCTCTTAATGCCAAAATTGTTTAAAAAAAAAATCCTCCAGATATTTGTACATCCCTTGTATGTTTTAAACTGATCATTGTAAACGCTAAGGGGAGATAAACTATCAAGATGTAAGAAAATGAATTGTTCATAAAATTGTTATATTTGTACCGAAGTAATATAAAACACTGTAAGTCAAAGGTTATGGATTTTGATATCAGCATATGACTATGTTATAAAAGTAACTTAATTCCAATTCTACTAGATAAAAATACCAATACTGGGATTACGTAGACGAGCTAAATTTTTACTTTTGCACTTCATGCTTACAAATACTGTTAAATCCTAAATGTCCATTTTGAGTTCTACCAAAATACTTCTGTCTTACAATATGTTGTTTACTTGGAACAACAGCAAACACTAGTGCATCCATCTTCAGTCTCAGAAGGTACTGAGCTCCTATGAAGAAGCTGTTGGATGGAAATCTGGTGGATGTACTGTGCTGGCATCTATAGAAATGCCTTAAATTAAATGCCTGAATATACAGCCCTAATGTTCCGGGCGAGCATGGGGATTCAGGTGCTGCTATGGGTGTGAGTATGCAGGGCGTTTGGTGCACTGGTTAGCACTTTAAAGACCAGTGTATTTGAAAGTAGCTCGGATACATCTCATTTTTTGTTTACTCAGGCCATGCTTTTGCATGTTGTGTATATATGTCTCGAAATTTCAGTTCTGTTTCTCCACTAATTAGGCTTTCTTAATCACTGGGTTTTTTAAAATAAAAAGCTAACTGCACAGGACAGATAAGTATGTAAATAAGTGACTATGCTTATGTATATGTTAATATTTATATGTAAAAAGCTATGTACATAGGAAAGAGGAAGGCTCAAAGAACGTTTTAAAAAAAAATGTTTCTTTCTTATAAATGCACAGACAGAAGCTTTCCATAACTGCGCTACTTAATTTAAACCTAAGTTTTCAATCCCTTTTGAGCTTGATCCTACTGTGTGGGTGTGTGGTGGTTTTTTTGTTTCGTTTGGGTTTTTTTTTTTTTGTACGTTGAGTAGCATTTTATGCTTTTTGCAGTCATCGCCGCTGCTGAGCCGCTTCGGAAAAGACCCCCACGTACCCCAGAGCGTTGCTGTCAAACAGCTACAGGCCGGGGCCGGGTAAAGCAAGGGTAGCGCGAGGGCGTTGCTGCTCTATCATGCTGGCTGCGTTTGCCTGCAGGAATTCGAGGAGCGTGTACCAGTGCGTTTACTCATAAACGAAGCGTTTCTGCAGAACCGCCGAAGCAGCCCTAAGCGCTCACTGTCTAGACAGCGCGGCGCTTGGCTTGACGCCACGCGGGTCGTGCCGAGCGACCGCCGCGCGCGGGCGTAGCGACGCAGATGCTTTTTTGATTCCGTCTAAACTAGAATCCATTCAAATTGCAGCTTGCTTGTCAACAGCTGTATGTCGTGTACTGCAGGCCTGCACTCACTGTTCAAGCTGTTGAAGGACTGTGGCTATTATTTAAAGTAAAGTATCCTACTCGAGTACTATCCGTAGCCTTCAGTGTCTCCTTGAGTGCCTTACACAGCTTGTTAACAAAAAGGCGTGTAGAGATGAGAACTATACCTGAGGGTCGTTCCTGGCGGACTGATGCCAAATCGCGTTGCATCTCTAATGCCGCCGCGAAACCTTGCCGTGGGCAGTGTGTTTTAGCACAGCAATGGATTTAGTTTAGACTCAGGAAATCGGATTGTGAATATGTGTATTAAACCATGTATTTAAGGATTGTATATTTTATAAAAAGGAACTGTTGTAAATTTATGCAAAATGTAAACAAGAGAAAATGTTTTTTTCCCCGACGGCCAGCGTGCCGTGGCCTCTTTGTGTTCTCTGATATAATCTCTTACTCACCATATCCTAAATACGTAATGTTTGGTTCAGTGCTGAAACCGTAATCGACAGGCCTGAAGTAGGGCTGGATGTTGATCAATTACAAAATTTTACACATATTTTTGTATTGTGATTCATATGATATATAGCAAGAGACTTTCTATTCATTTGTAAAATACATAAATTATTGTAAACTTTTAATAAAAAGAACTGTTTTAAACCTTCAAAATAAGGTAGTACTCATTTTTCTGGGTTGCAAAAAGGAAGCCTCTGGTTCGTTATATCAACGTTCTGATATTTGCTCTAATGCAGTATTTTTTTTATCAGTCAAGTTCTGCCTGAGTAACTGATTATATCGCGGATTCAAAATACCCTTGCAAACTGATACTCTACTGCCCCGCATGTGACATTCTCTCATTCCCCCACTGCTTCGCTAGTACTCATTTTTCTGGGTTGCAAAAAGGAAGCCTCTGGTTCGTTATATCAACGTTCTGATATTTGCTCTAATGCAGTATTTTTTTTATCAGTCAAGTTCTGCCTGAGTAACTGATTATATCGCGGATTCAAAATACCCTTGCAAACTGATACTCTACTGCCCCGCATGTGACATTCTCTCATTCCCCCACTGCTTCGCTCGCTCCCCGTGGGATCGAGCCCACCTCCACCCTGCTGAAAGCCGCGGGAAGCCTTGG